TTTTCCGCGCTCAGGCTGACGTAAGTGACCGGAAGTGAAATTTCACCTCCTTAGCAACGCGCGCGAGCGCTCGCATGAATCGGTTAATGGGCCCTTAACTACACAAAATGTTTTTCTTTAAAATCTACATTCTTTTATGGTCAATTTTTTTCATTAACACTGTTTACGTCTTAGCTACTCATAAGAAAAACCTTCTCGAAAGTAGTTAAGAAGGCTACTGGTAAGGTTCGTTACTTTTTGGTAATCAGACATATTATTGGTCAATGCTTGCACTGTGTATTTTCTTGGCAAGTTCTTATCAGTTTTTGGCAGGCTTGCTAATTAGCATAATAACAGTATGATTCTGTTATTAAACGTTTACGTTTGCATTCAGTACTTTGTGAAACAACGGTAGATTAATTTAAACTCCTAAGAGCTAAAGATACAAGATTATTTTTAACGAAGTACGCAGTATAGTGTTCATATGCGAAATATTGAGTTTTCAACAGACCGTGTGTTATGAATCGAAGTCAGCTTTCATCATCATCCTAGAAAATTCACAAATTTGCTTTAGACATACTGTTTCGAAACGTTTAAAGCTAGGATTTTGTGAATTCACGAAAGGCTAAGCGTCAGTGATCCATCGTGTCGTCGGCCATGATAAGCCATGATAAAAGCGGAACTTCTAAGAAATACATATAATTCTGATATTGTTAAAGTATAACATAAAAATTCTGCTAAAATTTCGAAGAATGAACTTCCTGAAGTTATGTTCAGGTCTAGAAATTAAATTAAACGACACATTTCACTGCGTACAAATACATTGTGGGAAAATAAGTTATCAATTGTAACATATTTAATAAAACGAACTATCATTGTTTGAACGTGACATGTTTGCAGTTTGTTCATTCAGGAAGGGTGGGCCGGATCTCTTCGAGCTGTCTGGCTTAAATCTTCGGGAAATTGACGTCATTTTATCATGTTTATTTATTTTTACTTGCACTACGTGCTTTCTGTGTGCTTATTACAAATATTTGTTTGTTTTTTCGATAAACAATCCCGAAGTGTCATCATTTGTGAAGTTTAATACAATTTTTGTGGCGCATATTTTGATGATGGACGTGGGTCAGTTATATGTCGAGTTTTATAGAAAGTGCAATTGATACTAACATTTTTTTTTTTATCTCTAATGCTTCAATGAAATCGTTGGAACTCCACGTGGATATTCTCAACTCCCGGGTGTGACCTTAACCATAAGCGAATCGCGTGTGTCCCATACGCGCGCCTGCTGACAGACTATACAGACTCTCCAGCGCTCAAACGTGAAAATCTTACGCTACTTCCGTTACGTTATGAAGGGAACTGCGGTAAACCAATTGACGAGCCGATAAAATTTGTATAGGTAATCATACGGTTTCGAGTTCAATTTGGAATCAATTTGCACGAGTGAGTTTTTCAAAAAGTTGAAATTGCACGAGCCGCTTCGGCGAGTGTAATTTCAGCTTTTTGAAACACTCACAAGTACAAATTAACTCCAAATTGAACGAGGAAAACCGTATGATTACTTATTAATAATATAAACATGAAAAAATTCGCGCGGAGGAAGTGCTGGAAGATGTTTGAAGCCATTTTTTCTCATTTGAGAAAACTTTTTTTCAAAGTTTCAGCACAAAATTTTCGTCATCATTTTACGTGATATAATTTCTTAGAAAAGTTCCTATTGTCTTTCAGTCAATCATAATCCAGAATTTCGATGTGTAATTTGCACCGGTGTTACACTTTTTACACTGATGTTACACTTTTTCACTGGCATGGTGTTACATTTGAACTGCACTGCTCTTAGCCAATCAGAATCGAGTAATTTTGTCATGTGTATTATTAGCTGAATAACAACTGCTAAATTATCCATGCATAAATTATGTAGCGGAAGTTTTGCATTTAGGAATTGGCTCATGATAGACTATTCACAGTCCCCTATTTTTCCGTGAGATCGTAGATGTCGATCGTTGAGTTCAATGGGCCGCCATCTTGGTTTCTTGATGCGAGCGAAACTGGGGAGAGTACAAAATGCCCGTGGGTAGTGGCGGTGGGGTAAACCTACCCACGGGCATTTTGTTCTTTCTCCAGTTTCGGTCGCATCAAAAGACCAAGATAGCGGCCCGTCGAGCTCAACGATCGACATCTACGATCTCACGGAAAAATAGGGGACTGTGAACAGTCTAGGCTCATGAAAGTGGGGGGTACTTATTGGTATTTAAGATTTATTTTCGAACGTTACAGTACTATTATGATACGAAATCAGTATCACTTGAGACGATAAGCTAAATATTCTCGTGGCTTAATGTTCTCGATGTTTTTCAGGTGTAGCAGAAAAATTCGTTGAGCCTGGCGTAAAACACGGTGATACATGCAAGGTTTTCTTAACGATTTGTACCGAGGTGCCTGAACATTATTCTACATTCAATCCTGTCTCTACAGAAAGACAACGACGAAAAAACGTAATAGCCATCCAAACTGAAAGAGCCAAAATTATTGCAGAACTGACAGCTGTCATTTTGAACCATTGTAATTTAGCGCTGAGGTCCAATACATCAATCACTTACAAGCTTCTTACCCCTCCAACTTAAGCAACTTCTGGTATTTTCAAGGGATCTATATGTTGTTACATGTAAATGCGAAGCAAATTTTATCGCAAAAATTGTTTGAGACAATTTCTTGATTCTATTCAGATAGAGTTACCAGACCCTCACTACACTGTCGGAAAGTTTGTCTGGTTGCATAGCTGACCTCTTATAAATTACGGTTCAAATGTGTTGTGCGCTTGGTAATGATGTTTCGGGAATGGATAGTACAAAGCCATTTTTCTCAATATTGAAATGAACCGGACTAGGAGCAATATAGGAACAGCTCTCAGGGATCTTAACAGGGCGCTTAAGGACACTTAAACAGCACGCACAAACAATATCGTGTTTGGTAGTGACATGCTAACAATTTGTCCGTTTGGAGAGCAGGGATGTCGCAATGATGAGAGCGCTCATCTTCCACCAACGTGGCCCGGGCCCGGTGCAATGTGGGTTGAGTTTGTGCTGGTTCTCGCCTTGCTCCGAGGGTTTTTTTCCGGGTTCTCCGGTTTTCCTCCCTCCACGAAAACTAACATCTCTAAATTCGAATTTCAGCAAGATAGAGGACCCGCAGGAAAATTAGTTAAGACTAATGTAGACTGCAAAACAGTCGTTTTCGGAAGTTTTCGGAAGGCGCGATCCT